AAAAAAAAAAAAAAAATATATATATATATATATATATATATATATAAATATATATATATATATATATATATATATATTTTTTTTTTTTTTTTTTTTGCATTCAAGATAACCTTGGCATTAAACTTGAACATCCACACAGAATATTAAGCTTCCAAATGAATAAAAGAAAACATTTTAAAAGAGGCCATTAAAATGTTTTCCATATGAATCATGATCTACATCCACATATTCTGACGTCAAAGGAACAGACTTACCTCCGGCTCTCAGATCAAATATAGCACACAGAAAAGGATAATTATTACTAATTTAAGGAAACGAACATGGATTGGAATCATATAAGGTTGCAAAAATAGATGGCTGTACTCACTTAACATTTCCATAAATGCACAGTTAATAAGATATTCACAAAACGTAAAATATTAATAATAATAACAATAATAATAATATTAATAATGCAGTATTATCCAATGTGCATGTTTTTTTGTGCTAGAAATGTATGTCAATTAGTGCATAGTTCATTAAACAATGCTTTATTTGCATAATACAAATATATTTATCAAGACACTTCTATACAGCTTAGTGACATTTAAAGGCTTAACAAGGTTAATTAGGTTAACTAGGCAGGCTAGCGTAATTAGACAACTTATTGTATAACAATGGTTTGTTCTATAGACTATTGAGAAAAAAATATATAGCTTAAAGAGGCTAAAATTGACCTTAAAATGTTTTTTTGTATTTATTTATTTTATTTTATTTTTAATAAAAACGGCCTTTATTCTAGCCAAAATAAAACAAATAAGACTTTCTCCAGAAGAATAAAAAAAATATAATCAGACATCCTGTGAAAATTTCTTTGCTCTGTTAAATATAATTTGGGAAATATTTAAAAAAGAAAAAAAGTTAATAAGGGGGCTAATAATTCTGACATCAACTGTAAATATGTTTCCCTCTTCACTTGCATTGTCTTACATTGCTTTATTCATTTACACACTCTACACAGGGAGTGAATTAGAAGGATGGAGCTTTATTTCATCAGCTGGATGTGCCAGTCTTCAGGGGTGTAATTTGAGAGCAGCAGGTGATTGGACGTCCCGTCAGATATTCAGATAGCGGATGTCATCTTTTCTCCTGCAGGGGACTGCGTTGTCAGGTAAAATCCACCATTGCTCTCTTTCTCCCCTCGAGCACGTTATTACTGTACGTCTCTTCTCTGCCGCACTACATGATGGACCGCTTCCGTCAGGATGTGTTTCCAAATGGAAATGTCTCACTTGCTCCTCTTTTCCATGCATTTTTCATTCTCTTTGTTGCTCGGTATCTTTAATCGTTACCAGGGATGAGTGAAATTTGTCATTCTTTTTGTTTCTTTGTATCTTTAAGTGTTACTACGGATAAGTGAAATAAATATTTCTTTCTTTCTTTCTTTCTTTCTTTCTTTCTTTCTTTCTTTCCGTATGTGATACAATACCAATACTGATACATGCTACAATTTAATTAATATCAATACCTACAGCATGCTGCTGATTAGTTTAATTTTTAAATGTGTTATTTTCTGTATAATGCTCAGTTTTTAACAAATAATTTTACACAAATGAATAAAATGGGTTTATAACATTTCAAAACACTTTTGATGCTATTGAGGTGAAATATATTTATGGTCAAGTTCATGATTGATGGCATGGTTTAGGGTGGACTTAATTACAGTTCAGTATAATTCAAATGTACATGTCTTGAAAATGCATATCATGATTTTGCCAAGTCCAATGCGGTCCTGAATTAACGTCGATGTTGATCCTGAAACATCATTTTTGTTCGAAAATGTAATCTATACGTTTTCCCTACCCATAAACCCAACTATAACTGTTAATTATTCCCAAAACCAGAGAGGAATAATAGTTGGATGGCAATCATGTAGAAATGCATAAACCTAATCGGTAAACGTATACCTCTTATTTATGATTGGCTGATTAGAATGTTGTTTCAGGATCAACATACAGTGGGTGTGGAAAGTAGTGATGTAAGTTATGAATAGTGATTAATCATGGTTTGCTAAGTGTTGGATTATGGAGAGTTAAAGGATTTTAAATGTACAATGCGAAACCTTTAACTCACAGAAAACAATGACTATCTTGTGCTTCGTCCATGGTCATTTGCAAAGACAAGTTCATTCATTCATTTTCTTGTCGGCTTAGTCCCTTTATTATTTCGGGGTTGCCACAGCGGAATGAACCGCCAACTTATCCAGCAAGTTCTTACACAGTGGATGCCCCTCCAGCCACAACCCATACCTGGGAAACATCCACATTCACACACATTCACACACACACTCATACACTACGGACAATTTAGCCTACCCAATTCACCTGTACCGCATGTCTTTGGACTGTGGGGGAAACCGGAGCACCCGGAGGAAACTCACACGAACGCAGGGAGAACATGCAAACTCCACACAGAAACGCTAACTGAGCCAAGGCTCGAACCAGCAACCCAGCGACCTTCTTGCTATGAGGCGACAGCACTACCTACTGCACCACTGCTTCGCCCGCCAAGACAAGTTAAAACTAGTAAGTTTTGATGAAAAGTTGCAGTTAATTTAGTCATTTAAGAGAATAGTTCTCCCAAAAATGAAAATAACCCCATAATTTACTCGCCTTTAACCCTCTGTCTGTATGACTTTTTTTTCTTACATGACTTTTTTACATGGCTCTTCCATGCAGATCGATGTGTAAGATAAATATTTCAATTTTTCAAATGATAAATTACAATCACCAACTTCCAGTGGCAGCCGAATACACGTTATATGTGACTGACATGTATGACGTATGACACATGGCTTAAACACCAAGCCAACTGGATTTCTTGTTCTTCATCGGCTTCTCGTACAACCCAGGCTCATTGTGGAAACGTAGTCCCGCGGACGTTTTCTGGAGACTTTTTCCGCGGAATACGTCCCGTCGGAGGCCGCTGTCCGACTGACCGTATGATTGACTGCGCGACCGGCCAATTGGCCGACTCGCCCTCCTCCTTCCCTGAACCCAACCAATTTTACCGATCGACCCGCCCGCCCGCTCGCTTCCCTAAACCATAGCAACAGTTTACAAAAGCCGTCCAAAAAATAAAAGTCCTGATTTGATTTGATTTTTTTCAACCGGGTTTTCAGATTTCGCCGCGTTCTCGCCCTGTTACGAAACTCATTCACTTAATTTTTGGGATTCTGTTTTTGTCTTACCTGATTGCTGGAACAGCTCTTCCCCGGACTCGAAACCGGACGCCGTGGTCGACTCCTCTCTGCATCTCGAGCCTGCCGACATACAAGCTGAGCTGAGTGGACAAACGGGTTGCAGCGGGGAAGCCCTTCACAAGGAGGTAAGGCAAGCGTGAAAGGGAACAGCGTCACACCGCCCTGCAGCGTTCGCTTAAAAAAAATAATAAATGCAGTCGTACGTACCCCCCGGGACGTATTCTGCTGTTTCCAGAAACGTCCGCGGGACTACGTTTTCAGAATGAGCTTGGGTTGTTCTCATCCCATAGTGGTGTCTTTGCTTTTGAAACCACTGTCCCACACCATTATAGAGCATGGAAGAGCCAGAATACTATTGTAATCTACTCCAACTGTGAAAAAGTCACATATACAGAGGAAAGCTTGAGGGTGTTTAAATTATAGGTAATTAAAAATTTGGGGTGAAAATTTCCATTATGGGCCAGGACACACCAAGCTGACTGTCAGTCGTTCTGCTTCATTGGTTTGTGTCTCTGGCTAGTAGGTTTAGTGTGTTCCACACATCAATTGTCACTGGGTTATCGTCAGAGCTTGATCAGAGCTTCTGCCGATTCAGGATGTAGAATTGGACCATCGGCTGAAGAGAGCACCTTACTGGTTATTCTGCAACATATCAGAGTGCGGGTGTGATGTAGTGAAGTGACATAGCAAGTAAACGATTTAAGTCAAGAAGGGTCATAAAGAGGCAGACTATAACTTTGCTACATTTTTTAAATAATGGCAAACAATGTGGATCGTAAGATTTTCAGACATTTTTGCAGGAGCGAATTAAATGGTACTAAATGCTTCTTTGCTTAAGCAAAGTTCACACTTTTTTGCAAAGTTTATGCTTTTCCTGTGCACATCGGAAGTTTGGTTTCTTTTTTTGGAACAAGAAAACATACTACTGCCCCCACAGATAAGAAACCCATGTTCTTTTGCACAGGTGCAGAACATGGTTTTCATTTCGGTCGGCTTTCGTTCTTTAGGTGTGTTCGAGCAGCTTTAATCCAACGCAAGCCGATGTCACAGTTGGATTTCATTCATTGCTGCTAGTTGTTTAGGTCAGCTTGGTGTGTCCTGACCCTAAGGCCCCGTTTAAACTCATACGTTTTCGTTTTAAAATGCATATGTTTTGCTATGGTTATGCCAAAAGGAGCGTTTTGGAAATGCTGAAGAGGCTGTTTTCATTCTAAAAAGCTCCTGCTATGTCTCAGATAGACATCTGCAGACATTCGCCTATCTGATTGGGGTTTTTTCCTCAGTATTAAGTAACCTACACATAGTCTTGCTCTCCGTCTAA